TGCCTAAGCAGGCACCTTAATCCTCTAAGCTATTTGGCTGGCCCCTGATTTTCAATTTTAATAAGAATAATATTTATGAAAAATTCAAATATTATGTAAGTGTTGTAAGCCTATTCTTTCTTTGACTCTCAGTCCTACTTCTAATAGACAAATGTCATTACAAGTTCTGAGGTTATGCGTTTGTCTCTCATTTGAGTGTATAAATCATGTAAATACAGAGAGAAATTCTTATTCTTTTTAAAGAATCATGAAATAAAATCTATATTTTAGAATGAATACTCTGTAATATGGAATATAGATTGGAGAGAGCCATGTGCAGGAACAGTTTGGCAAGTTAATGATGATGTCACTATTTGTATTTATTTTATTTATTTTTAATTAAGTTTATTTGCAAAATTTAGATATACATAATGATCACATTCATCATAAGAAATTGGTATGTGTACGTGATATATCTTGATTCCTTTTTTTCCCATTCTCCTCCCCTCCCTTCAACCCTTCATCCCCACCTTATTTTTATTTTATTTTGTTTTGAAGAGTAAAAACAGAAACAAAAACAAATAGAAAAAAGGTAGAAACAGGGCAATATACAACAATGCATATGTTACAGATTTTCAAAACAGGAGTAGCTAATTAACAATGGTTGCTATATTATCTATTTTTATCATCAGATTTGTTGCTCAGATTAACAGATACAGTTATGCAAGATTGGGGAAATAATGGAATATTGGCACTTGTTTTCAGGAAATGTTAATTTTGTTTGTCTTTTTTTGGGGGGGGTTTGATCTTTTATTTCTACACATTCTTGTGGTGAGGTCCAGGCTGGCCCCAAACTTGTCACTCTCCTACCTCAGTGTCCCAAGAGATGGGATTACAGCTGTGCACTACTATGACCTTTTTAAGTCTTTGAGAATTATTTATTTATTTATTTATTTATTTATTTATTTATTTGGTGGAACCGGGGATTGAACTCAGGTCCTTGCGCTTGCCAGGGAAGTGCTTATTCCACTGAGCCATCTCCCCGGCCCTGAGAATTAACTTTTTAAAAAGGCACTAAAACAGTCATATTTGTGGCTATCACATCTTTCCCTGTTATGACCTGCTCTGTGTCCTCCAGGGTGTACTTTTATCTTGCATTTTTCTCTTTTACTCAGCCCAAGTTCACTCTGCCCAGCCAACTTCTCCCTTCACTTTTACTTTTTCTTTCTTTGTTTCTTTTTTTTTCCATAATTTTATTGAGAACCAAATAGCAATGAGACAGTTTCAAACCAAATTGGTAGGACAGTTTCAATAATTAACACATTGCATACATTCTTCCTAGTGGTTAATTGCTGTACAAGATGTGGATTTGATTCTTTTTTGTTTTAATGTATTTTAAAAAGTGTAACTTTTTTTTTGTGGCCAGGTCAGCTCACCCTGGGGGTAGGGCTGGTGTGGCGTATGGTGCCTAGGATCGAACTGAAGTCCCTGCACACCTGCGTAAGCTTGCCTAAGCAGGTGCTTTAGACCGCTGAGCTATCTCACTGGCCTGAGAGTGTAATAATTGATAAGACATTAGAAATGGTGCACATTTAGAAGACCAAGATGAGAGGCATTCAACCATTTTTTTTTAAATGTATTTAGTACAGGAACTACAGAGTCTTACTACATGGATCAGACTCATAGTGATTCTCCTATTTTCGGCCTCCTTAGCACTGGGATTACAGGTGCACGCCACCACACACAGTCTTTTTTTTAAATATTTATTTATTTTTATTTATTACATTTATTTATTGTGTGTGTGTGTGTGGCCAGCTCAGCCCACCAGGGGGCGGGTCTGGCTGGCATGTGGTGCTGGGGATCGAACCGCGGTCCCTGTGCTTTGCCAAGCTTGTTTCAAGTAGGTGCTTTAGACCACTGAACCATCTCTTCAGCCCCACACACCCAGTCTTAATTGCCCTCTCAGCGTGCCCCCAGGGGCTGGGCTGGCATGGCACACTGGGGATTGAACCCCTGCTGCTGCATTCTGCCTAAGCAGGCTCTTTAGTCTGCTGAGCTGTCTGGCCAACCCTTGAACCATGGGTTTTGTATTACACATTGCTGTCCTTGAAGTAGTTACTCAGTTTGAAGATATTAGCATACAGAGTTAGTCAAGGTGAAAATTGTAAATATTAACTATTTTCAAAAATACTGCTGGATGCTGAATTCATGCACGTAGAATATTTGAGTGGCAATGGAATACCCATCTCTGACAAAACTAAACAAAAAAGGGGAGGGCTAGGGATATAACTCAGTGGCATAATCACGTGCCTGGCAAGCTCAAGGTCCTGAGTTCGATCCCTGGTACCTCAAAAAAAGAAAAACAAATATTTGCAAATCACAAAAAAGGGGGCTATAAATGAAGGATCATTTTGTAGTAAAAAAAATATATCTGTATATACAAAATAGTTAGGATAGTAGGATAGATATGCAGCTACTTTCTCTTAGTTCAATGAGATGATTTGTACTAATAGTGTTTAGAAAAGATATCATGTCTGCATCTTCTACTCTGAATAACTACTATGAAGACAACAATATGCAATGTATTAATTATTGTAACTGTCCTACTAACCTGTTTTAAAACTAATTGCTATTTCTTCCTCTATAAAATTAATTAAAAAATAAAATATAGTAGGGCATTTATTTATATTATTTCCTGAGAATTTTTTAAAAATTTGTTTGACTCAATCCTCATATTAATGAGAAAAGATGAATATTAATTTCATTTTTAAATATTTTATGATAATGAAATGAAAATAAAGTTATTTATTTATTTATTTATTTATTTTTGGTGGGACCAGGGATTGAACTCAGGCCCTTGCACTTTCCAGGCAAGCGCTTATTCTACTGAGCTATCTCCCCAGCCCATATACTTAAATTAATATGTCAAAAAAAACCCCAAAACAAAAATACTGATGGAAAGTTTGAGTATAATCATCTCAGCCATGCTGTTTAAATACTTGCATGTTTTTCCCTCCATTCTTTTTTCCTATTTTTTCTCCTTTCTCTCCATTGTTTAATTCTTAAGTTCAGTTTCTTTCTGGTTTACTTTATTTATTATACCTTTCAAGTTTTATTTATTCTTTCAGGTTCTTATACTAGGGATACAATATGATATTTATATATGTGGGTCTGATTTATTTCACTTACGAGTATATCCTTTAATTGCATCCACTTATCTATAAAAGATTGGAGTTTTTCTTTATAACTGAGTGGTACTCCAGTGTATAAGAATACTACATCTTTTTCATCCATTCCTCAAGTAATGGGTATTTTTGTTATTTCTAAGATTTGTCGATAACAAATTGTGCTGCTATAAACATGGGTGCACATATATCACTATGGTATGATTGCAGTTCTTTTGGGAAAATATCCAGAAGGGGAATATTTGTATTAAATGGGATTTCCAGTCTTAGTTTTTTTTTTCTTTTAATTAATTTATTTATTTGGTGCAGGGTCTTGCTATGCAGCTCAGACTCGTAGTGATCTTCTTGTCTCAGCCTCCCCAGTGCTGAGGTTACACGTGTGTGCCACCACTCCTGGTTTTGGGGCCAGCACTGTGTACCCAGGGAACTTGGGGCTAGTTCAGCATGCAATGCTGGGGATCAAACTCAGGTCCTTGTGCTTGCCAGGCAGGTACTTAGACTTCCAGGCTATTTTCCCAGCTCATCCCCTCATATGCAAAGCGTTGTTTCCATTTTATCCTTCTTTTCTCAGTTTTTCTTTTCCCTTCCTTTCTCCCTCTCCCCTCCCTAGCTCCCCTTTCTTTATGAATGATTTCTTCCTATTTCAAAATATCTAGTATACAATTTGATCCTTATTTACACTTTTAGTTTCTTACACCAGAAAGACAATGCAATATTTACATATGTGTAACCAATTTGTTTTAGAAGACCAGGTAAGAGATGACTGCGTTAGGATTGATTTAAGAAGTAGAGTCAATAAGAATTAAAAAACTTGGAGCAATTGGTGAGGGAAAGGGAAAGAGTGGACTGAAGGATGAAACTAAAGTTTTGGTTTGGGCAATCGATTAAGTTCAATGAGACAGAGAAGACTGAAAGGGGAGTTGATTTTTATGGGAAGAAAGGAAAGAAGAACTATATTTGAGGTATAGTTGGTTATCATTTTGGGATATTTGTACTTTATTTCCAGTGGAAATGTAGGATACAATTTTACCTTGATTCATAAATGCTTGAACACTTTTTTAAAAAAAACCTTGAGACAGAGTCTCACTACATAATTCAGACTGGCCATGAACTCCTGGTGATCCTCCTGTTTCAGCCTTCCAAGTGCTGGGATTACAAGCATCCTTCACATTCTTTTGTTTGAAAACAGTTTGATTCATAAACAGAAGTGTTTGGCAGAATTTTGTTATTGTTTCCAAAACCTGCATTAGGAAAACAATAAAAGTGTGACCAACTTCCCCATACAAATACAAATATGGCCATATTTTTCCAAATGGTAGAACAAATTAAAGTTCATGGACTGAAGTACCCCTGTATAGGAGTCGAAAGGCGAAGAGAAATCTGTGCTACAATCACATATTTATGAGTTATTAGCATCTATATCATTAATACAATAATATAAATAGATTATCTTGCCTCAGGGAAGAATACATAGTTGATAAGGTGGCCAAGAATGGAGTCTTGAAGAACTCTAATAATTAAGGGACAGAAACAAGAATAGGAATATGTGAGGAAGAATCAGAGAATACATAGATTTGTTATCAGAAACCATTAGAAGACAATTTTTTGGGAAGAGAATAGTCAATAGTGTCATACTGTGGAAAGTATGACAAGGACTAACAAGTACACTGGATTTGGCAGTTGAGACCATTGTAACTTGATAAGAGCAATTCCTGTAATTCAAGTAGAAACCAGTTTTCTGTCTCAGGTGTCCCATATCTAAAAACTCACTGAATCCTGTCACTTTTGTTATTGTCTTTCCCTTTCTCAGTAGCACTTCTTTCCATTTTTTTTTAGTACTAGACCGTTTACATAGTCTTCAAATTAATAGCAGTTTGAGCACCTACTCTCTCGTAGACTCTGTTGGAAGTACAAAGACATGTAAGATATGATTCTTTTTCCAAAGAGGGGGAAGAGGGGAGAGGGGGAGTAATTTCAGCACCTACTACATGCCAGGCACTTTATGCAGTATAACTCACTATATCTTCACAGTAATCCTGTAAGGTTAGGTCTATGCCCTGCCTTTCTTTTTTAATAGAAATGGAAGAAGATACTTAGAGTTTAAGTGCCTTGCCCAAAGTCATGCAGAGAGGTAAAGCTGGTGTTTGAACTGAAATCTGTGTGACTCCAAAGCCTGTGTGTTCAATTTTTAATGCTTTGCTGTCTGTGGTCTAGTTTATGAGAAGGTAAAATTGCACAAAAGTTAGTTGCCTATTTAAGCTTTTGCTTTGAGGTAGTTGTGGAAGAAATGTCACTGTGTGATTGATTTGACTGTAACCTAAATTAGATGATAATTGCCCAACTTTGAGAAATTTTCAAAATAAAACTTCAATATTTCTCCTTGGTTTTAGTGCCTGGCAGAGAGTAGATGCTTAATAAATGTTTGAATGAATTTAGAGTGAGAGATGATGGTAAGTGAGGTTGGCCAGATAGAGTTTTGAGAAGGGGTAGGATTTAGTCTGAGTCTTCAAAAAAATGAGTAAAGCTTTAAAGGAAAGATCGGGGAGGGCATTTCAGGCAGAAGCACAGAATATACAAAGGTTAGTGGGGAGGGAAGTATAAGACAGAGGTCGCAAACAGGCAGCCTGTGTGCTAGATAAGGTCTGTAGCTTTGAGATTGTATACCATTTTAGAACAATTGAGATTAGTTATCACCTATACAACTTTACATAAAAATTTGGATTTTCCACTACTACTGAAAAGTTTAAATATCTGATAACTCTGACCTGACATTCCTGCATGAAAAATGAAAAAGAGCTGAGTAACTTTCTTTTACTGTACTATCCCACTGGATAGATGTTCACCCTTCATATATGGTCAGCTTTAATGGGATGTGCTTGACTTCTTATTAGCAAGTTTGCGACCCCTGATATAGTGAGTTATATTGGGCATTGGGGAAGTAGTGGGACTTGGGAAGACTGTGAATAAAATTGAGTTAGAATGGAAGGCTTTATTAATGTGAATTATTGAAAATGTATAGATAAATGGAAAGCCAATTGAGAGCCAATTCAGGCCCTTTCAGGCATGGAGGAGCCATTGAAAGTATTTTGAATGGGGAGTGACATGTTCAAAGTAGTGTTAAGAAGATGAGGTTGGCAATAACTTTTTGTGAGAATGTCAGTTATGCGGGCTCTGTAGCACTATAGCCATGAGATAATTAGGACCTTTCTTAATGTTAATGATGGGTTATAAAAAAGTAGAATTGAGAGGGATTATAAAGGATTAGCAGTGAATTGTGGACAACAGAGTACTCAAAAATGGGAAAAAGTAGGGTCACTAATGAAAAAGGAAATCAAAGCAGGAGTTAGTTTTGTTATGTTTTATGTTCATTTTTTTGTTATTTATGTGGGAGCCGTTGGTGATGGCAGGTGGAACAGGTAATATCTATTAAATGGTATATGCTACTATCTTACATGTTGAAAATTTGACCTTGGTATGATTGAAGATCATTTCTGCTCTAAGCACCAAACTACTAAAAAGGTAAAATGACTTACATGAGTCAGATCAGGATAGTTTAGGCGTCTCCCTTGCCATTAAAGCACTAATTAAACTGAAAATCACCTTCTTGTGACTTTGAGCATTTCACTCCACTTTGCTCCTTCTAAATTCCATGACTTACTGCTTTGCTTATTTTTGACTTCTTGCATGCTACAATTATTAGATTTTCCCTATTTGTCTTTCAGTTGATGTAGAACATTCTCACGTTCGATTTCTGGGAAACCTGGTGCTGAATCTATGGGATTGTGGTGGGTAAGTACCATTTATTTACTTGTTTATGAAGCCAATGGCAGTGACCATGGCATCTAGTATGATCAGTATGGCAAGGTACACCTAGAATAACTGTCATTTGTAATTATTAGATGAAATTACTTTTAGTTGGTACTTGATTAAGTAAAAATTATGATTTTTGTGTAATTATGAAAATGCCCTCAATATGTGACATATTTAGACAGCTCGGGGCACAAGCTACATCTAGGTATTTGTAGTACAAGATAGAACAGACCTCTTTTGCAGGGGCATAAATTAAATTTCTGTCTCAGGAAATCTGACACTGTTGCCAAGCTCTTCGCTATAATAACATGCTATTTTGTTCTTACATGTTTCAGTAATTATCTCTAGGCAGTCTTAGCACTATAGATCAGACTGGGCGTATATTATCTAGCTAGTTACTCATTACTGGAAGAGAAAAATCTTCCTCTCATGACCAAGGCATTCACCAAATATTACATCACAAATAAGCACTCACAAGCCAGCCAGATAGCTCAGTGGATTAAAGCACCTGCTTAGACAGACAGCCTGCTATATGGGTCCCACTCTCGGAACATGCTGAGAGGGATTAAGACTGGGTGTGATGGTGCGTACCTATAATCCCAGCACTTGGGAGGCTGAAAAACAGGAAGGATATCTCAATAAAAGGTACTGCCTTCAGTGTGTTGTTTCCTAGCTCCTAGCATAGAGCTAAATATAGAATAGATACTCAGTGAATATTTGTTGAAAGAATAATATAATGGCCAAATATGTTCTAAAAAATGACTTCATTCCTACTAAAATACATGACTTAACATCATAGCAGCTCTCTGCATTTAAATCCCTTTCATTTCTATTGCTTGCAGTTCTCTAATCTGTATTTATTTTATTCATTTAGTTATGAATTTGGTATAGGGTCTCACTACACAGCTCAGACTCATAGGGATTCTCCTGTTTGCAGCCTCCCCAGCACTGGGATTACAGATGTACATCACTACAGCCGGTCTCCATGGCCGGTTTAATGTACCTGAAGGTGGGGCCAGTGTGGCATGTGGTGTTGGGGATCGAACCCCGGTCCCTGTGCTTGCCAAAACAGGTGCTTAGTCCACTGAGCTCTCTCGCTTGCCCTTCTAATCTGTATTAAGGGATTAATCCAAATCGTCTTTTAGGCACTAAAATGTGATTTCCTTTTTTATGATAAATTAGCTAAGATCCAGAGAGATTATAATTCTCCCAAGGTCACACAGCTAATTAATAGTAAGTTGGAGGACTAGAACCTAGATTTGTGATATTCCTCCAGTACAGTGTTACTATTCCTGTTGTCTAGCTGTTAACTGAGAATTTCTTGGGAAGTAGAATATATCCTATGGAATAAAGAACAACATTCTGCCAGAAAATGATCATTGTAGTCATTTTCATGTAAAAAATAGTTGGCTACTGAATTATTTATTAAGCAAATGTTTATTGGATATATATTGCTCTTTTGAAACCCAAGAAACAATAGGGAACAGTACCAGACATGGTCCTTGCTAGGGAAATGAATGTTATTAATTAAAAGCTCATGTAATCAAGTATAATATATTGTGATAAGTGTTGGGAATGAATGGAATTTGTTGGTCAGTAAGTCTTTGCTGAATGGAGTGACCCAATTCATGGATGTTGGAAACTATTTTTATGGAAGTATCAGTTGAATTGAAGTGTAAGGAAAAGCAGGAATTAAGATGAAGGATAGAGGAGTGGCATTTGAGAAGAATGAGAAGCATGTGTAATGATTCCATGGTGGGGATAAACCAAGGATCATTTGAGGAATTGAGAAAAGGTAATTATGTTTAAAACATGGTGGCAGGGGCAGAGGGTGATAATGTTGCTGTTCATGTTGTAAGACCAGACATGTTTGCTATTACTTACCCTTTAAAGCATTAAGATTATCTTTTGCATTGATCAAGCTAACAAAAATACATCAATTTCAGGAGTGATTTAACTGAGAACTTGCTTGCTATCTCTACATTTTTTTCTGCCAGACAAGACACATTCATGGAAAATTATTTTACTAGCCAAAGGGACAACATTTTCCAAAATGTGGAGGTTCTAATTTATGTCTTTGATGTGGAAAGCCGTGAGCTGGAAAAGGACATGCACTATTATCAGTCATGCCTAGAGGCTATTCTGCATAACTCTCCAGATGCCAAAATATTTTGCTTGGTACACAAAATGGATCTGGTACAGGAAGATCAACGCGACCTGGTAAGAAACAAAAGGTTCTACATCAAATGGTTGAGATTTGCAATGTTCTTTTTTTCAGGAAAAAAAAGTCTCAGACTAACCCTTCCAGTTGAAACTCCATTGTTTTTTGAAACACTCCTTAAGTCCATTATTCATCTAGCAGGTACAGTTTTAAGAATTAGTAAGGAATTCTGATCATGCAAGATCACTGAAATACCTTTATTTTTAAAAATATTTTTGCTGCCCCTATTTTATTGTCAAACCTAGAAGACTCACCAGTAGTAAAATGAAGATAGTTACTCTTATAATTGAATTTAACAGTTCAGTTGCCAGGTCCTATACCAGATTCCCTATAATTGGCACTAACCTGGTGTATTTCTCCTCTTTTATTTCATGGATACATTAACACACACATATTTAAACCATAGAAGACACATATGTAAACCAGAGTAAAGGGGTAATGTTACTAAAATAAAGGAGTAGGAGCTATCATCCTTCATCTCCCCACCCTACACAATAAAATAAATGTGGAACTGGAGTGATAGCTTGGTGGCATAAGGGGCCTGGCAAGCACAAAGCTCTGAATTCAGTCCCCAACACAAACAAATAAACAAAAAAAGCCCCCCAAAACTTAAAAACTAAAAAAAACTATGGATAACTGCCAATAAACCAGAATAGCTCTGAGAGCACTCAGAGGATTATTACAAAAATATACAGTATGGGTAAACTCCTCACTGTTTGTGAGCTTCAACAACTGGCAGATCACAAACACAGTCTATCTTCAGCTTGTTCCAATGTGTAAGAATATTGTATTTTAATGTCAAGATGAAAGAGAAGAATTTCCTCTACTTCCTAGGATAAAACTAAAGATAGCAGTTTGAGAATATACTAGTGGTGTAGAACAATACCATTCTCCTTGGGTTGCCATGTAAGGGTCTAAAAATATGCTTAGACTGTAGCATTGTTTGGAATAGCTATAGTAGTGTTCTTTTTCCATGACTAGGTAGAATAGGATTGCCTCCATTGTATTAGTATTTTAGTATGGCTCAATTGGCTTACTAGCTTTCAAAAACTGTTTGATAAGGTTACCTGTATCTAATAGGCATTTTAGTTCTTTTCTACATTACTTCTCTCATAATACTAGGCATATAGTTTGGATCTGGAATTTGTGAGGGTTTGATTGTTAATAGTGCTGCTTTTTTTTTCAGAGCTGGGGATTGAACTCAGGCTCTTGTGCTTGCCAAGCAAGTGCTTATTCTACTGAGCTATCTTCCTGGCCCTTAATGGTGCTGTTGTTTTGTTCTTTTCTTTTTAAATTATTATTTTTTTTTACCATCGACTGAACTCAGGACCTCGTGCTTGCGAGGCAGACACTTATGCCTCTCAGCTATTTCCTTGGCCCTAAATTATTTCATTCTTTAACGAAAGTTACACTAGGAAACATAGAATATTCCAATAATGAGCTACTTTTGAATGTTATACAGTTGGAAGTTTTAAACTATAAATGGTTAACATGTTTCCAAGAATACTAATTTCAGCTAAAATAGATATTTCCCTGAATATATGTGTATATGTATGTATGTGTGTTCTAGAGAAACAGAGCAAATCAGGTGTGTGTGTGTGTGTGTGTGTGCGTATGTGTGTGTGTGTATGGAGACACAGAGACAAAAACAGACAGATACGTGGAGGTATTTATCTTAGAGAATTGGTTCAACTGATTGTGGAGGCTGGAAAGTATGAAATTTTGAGAGCAGTCAGATAGGCTGAAGACAAAAAAGTTTATGTATCTTAAGGTAGAACAAAATATGAAGGCAAGATTCTCTTTTTTTGGGATGTCGATCTTTTTTCTCTTAAGGACTTCAACTGATTGCATAGGGATCACCCATACTATGGAAGTCAATCTGTTTTATCTAAAAATCTACAAAATTAAATAATAATCTTATTTTAAAAAATAAACTTGTCAACAATATTCAGGTGATGTAACCCAGCCAAGTTAACACACAAAATTAACCATTATAATCCAATCCTTGTCAAATTGACATTCACATACATCCCACAAACCATACTAAAACTCTAGATATAGTAGTAAGGTTATACTCCCATTTAGCATGATATAGTTGTTCTATATACTATTAGAAATACTTTAATCCTCTTTGCACAAATTAATATAAAGTCTTTGGGTAATGTTTTTCCACCTGTTTTCCTTTCCTACATCTTAAATATTATAAATAGTACTTAAGTATAATGTCAATATAACATCTATGTCTTACACTCATGATAAGGGGTAAAAAAATAAAAAAAATATTTTTAATACTTGTACACATATTGATAACAGAATTAAGAAAGAAATGTGACAATTTTAGTTGTTATTTATATAACTGTTTATGTGATCATAGCTGGTATTTATACCTACCATATTCGATACTGGATTTCAGATTTGAAGCTGCAGCATGATATTGACACTTCGTAGATGTAGTATGACTTATCTGATACGTATCTATTTACTGATGAGACTCATACTTTCTTAGTATAATGAGTACTGCTGACTTCCAATCAGCAAGCTCCGTATATAAATGGAAGATAGTAATAAGTATCATTATGTCACTTATAAACAGTTCTTTACTAACCATAATTCTTATTACAATTGCATTTTGACTTCTTCAACTTAATATCTATACAGAAAAAGCTAGCCCTTATGAATGTGGCTTCAACCCAACAGAAATTACACGTCTTTCATTTTCTATAAAATTTTTCCTAATTTGTATTACTTTCCTATTATTTGACCTAGAAATTGCCTTACTTCTCCCCCTCCCATGAGTATTTCAAACTACTAATATTAATTTAACAGTATGAATCTCTATTGCTCTAATTCTAATTCTTTCATTAGGTCTAACTTACTAGTGATCACATAAAGGATTAGAATGAACTGAATATGGTGATTAGTTTAATAAAAACAAATGATTTTGACTCATTAAATTATGTTAATTACAAAATTATCAAAATGACTTCAATCTTATTTAATGTAATGGTTGCCTTCACTGTATCTTTTATAGGTGTAATAATCTACGGATCTCACATAATGTCATCCCTGTTGTGCTTAGAAGGAATAATATTATCCATATTTATCTTAGGAACTATTAGACTCTTTACCTGCAGTAATCACTTCAGCAGATTTTAGTTCTTTTAGAGTAACTTAAGTCCATTAGATTTAGTACTTTGGGCCATTAGTAGAACTGCTTAAATTAGATAGTTGCAGTTATTCATTAGTTCAATTACAGAGTATGATATTACTAAGAGATGCTTTATGGGAATACCTTGTATTCCAAACATATCCTTCCTTACTGCTACCATGAGGTAGATGTCTAGTTCCCCTCTTTATAGTTAAAATCAATCACTCTAGCCATTGCAGTAACTCACTTATGTGCCTATTGGTTCAGAGGCCTAAGGAATTCAAAGCAATTGGCAGCAGTCTTAATCTACAGTCATGTGGAATTATTGTTATATCTCTTGTTGGACACCTTCCTGCTTTTGGAACTGAGACTTTAGAGCAGAAGACTATAAGGTCATAGGGATAAGAAACAACAACAATTTAGGTAAGCCTCTACCCTAAGTAATCAACTAGGCCTTAGAAATATAGACTTTCACTTATCAAGATTGTTTGGCCATGGCCACCAATGAGTGCCCTATATACTAGCAATAGAGATCATCTCTAGGTCCATGATATGGCATCTTTCTTCCAGTTACCTGATGGTGTGGACTGTTGTGGTTTGAGGTTTTTGCAAGGGGAACAATATAATTCAGGACACATTTTATAGGATTATTTTATACTGAATCACCCAAAGAGTACAGGAAGGGCTGGGAAGGTAGCTCGGTAGAGTAAGCACTTGCCTGGCAAATGCAAGGTCTTGAGTTCAATCCCCAGTACCACAAAAAAAAAGAGTTCAGGAAATCTGTCTACATACTAAAGACCAAAGAATCCAGCTGAGGACCTCGAGCCTAACATCCTGCATGAGTCTAGTTGAAAACCTAGAGCTCGTAACAGTACCACCCACAAGTCTAACTGGAGGTCTAGAGCCCATGACAATGTCCCAGGCAGGCCTGTTTCATGGATCTATGCTGAGAAGGCCTAAAGGTCAGTGGTGGAAGTTAGAAAGTCTGTGCCAGTGGGATGAAGGATCTGTGCTAGCAGGCTGAGGATACTAAACTATGGGAAGCAATGCTCAAGGTAAGAACCAGAGTTGCTCCCCAAAGTACTTCAGCCATCCTCAGCAACAGTGAGGTCCCTAGCTCCTCCAATGATGAGGAAAGCTGAGTTCCTATCAGGAAAGGCAAGATGACAACCTTCCCAGAAGACTGAGCTGTGTACCATCTTCCCCTCTGGAGGCAGGAAGTGATGCTCAAGATGAGGATCAGAGCTCCCCGAAAATGAACCATAGGCATTCTTATTGACAAATTTCTGAGCTCGTCTACTGACAAGAACATCTAAGTTCATCAGGAAAGCCAACATGACAAGGTCCTCCAGCAGAACATCCCAAGAGAACTAGCAGCTTCTAACACCTCCAAACAGCTTCCCTTACAGCCTCATCCATCTCCCAATAGCTGGCACCTCTTAGCACCACTCTAGTTGAGTTCAGCTGGGTGAAACAAGTTGAATAGCAGTTCTCAATTCACCACAGTCTACCCCAGGTCAAGTTGATAACCATACGCATTTTCTTAAACTAGTCTCTAGTAGCAGGTTTGTGAAAATTTAACATGTCTTGGTCTATTTAGATTTACATTAATATTACAAATACATATATGCGTGTTTTGCACTCTTTTCTATTTCTTCACCAAAACCATAATATTCAAAGAGTGACTGAAATTTAAGATTAAAACACAATACTTGATTAATTAAGTTGATTACAAACATACATCTAAAAACATTGAAAACAGTAAAAGAACTATCACAATCACAATCTTTATTTCCCATTAACTTAACAAATAATGGTAAGACTAAAAAGACAGGAATCTCTTGCAACTTA